AGAAAGAAGTACTTGTCTGCCTCAACGTGTCACATAAAAATCACAGTAAAATACATTGTCTGTGGTTCAGTCTGAATTCTCAACTTGCCTGATCTTTTCAGGTCAGTCTTTACATGCCTGCTGATTAGCAGCAGGTTCTGGGGCCACAGACAAAACCTCGAAGGCCTCGGACCTTCCGAGATCCAGAGACATTTCTTCTCAGAAACCCTCAACGAATATTTTATTCTTTGAGAGAGCAGGGTGTGTTAGTGCTCACTTTTCCAGGAACCAGAGCGAGAACTACTTTTCTATGTTTTCATTTATGCTCTTCATCTCTATTTCTGCTGCTGACAGCGTTGGCTCTGACCCTTCTTTTTCTGAACACATCAAGTCTCCTCTGCTGCATGCAGACTCCATAAACCCCCGAGCTCTGCAGTTGATCTAGTATTTAGTTTTTCCTAGCTTTTTAGTGATTGAAAGGAAGAACTGTAGCTGAAATCCCTGCTGCCCCCGCAAACCTGACCTTTTGATTCGGCAGAAGACGATGGATGGATGGATGGGTATAATTTATGGAATGCTGTGTACAGCGGTTCTCGTAAGTGTTGAGATGTTTTCATGGTGGGGGAAAAAAAACATTATCAAGATTTAAACTCTTTCCACCTTTAGCATGACGCGTCCATGTTACATACGTGTTTATATCCTTTAAGCTAAACCTTTGTTAAAGCTCATTTTGATTCAGTTTCAATCTTTTGTTGGAAGCAATTATCATCCCACGTCTTGACTTTTGAAAACTTCTATAAAATCTCTGACTCTCTAATATGGTCTTTAGGTGACCCGTCTGATGATCTGTCAAATTTATCTGCTGACTCTAAGCCATTCCAAAATTTGACTTTCATTCCAGCGAGGCCTTTCTTTTGTTGAATAAAAAATAAGCTCGCTACAATTCTGTTGAAAGAAAGGTGGAAGGGACAAAACATGAATGAAGACAAAAGTAAAAAAAAAAAAAAGAAATCTGCTAAATGAGTTCAAAAGAAAGTCAAACTCCAATGTAAAATAAATCAAATTTTATATAGCATGAATTGGGTCCAACTCAAGTGACATCAACGAAACGCAAAACTGACCAAAGAACAAAAGTTGCTTAAATTGGTGGTGGAGTAAACTAAACATGAGGGAGGTACAACATAACAAAATAACAAAAAGTACAAAATTAGCAAAAACACATGTAAAACAAATAAATCAAATATGACTAAACTTAACTTATTCGCCAAATAAGTTAATATTAAAGTGACAAAATAAGGTCAACTTTGACAAATATAGTTCCCACGCTTCAGTCCTTTGTAAAAGTTGTATTTTCTTGACTTCAGCAACTCTGGTTTTTGCAGAACCTCAAAGAAAAAAATACAAACAGAAACAAGACGAGCGTAAGTAAACCAGACAAATATTAACTAAAGTGTTCACCCACTAGAAAGTATGCCTAAATAAAATGACTTGAACTTCTGCATAGTGCAATTTCACCCACTGTTAGCCAAAACAAGCTATGCTAACTCTGTGGTGGGAGGAGCTGCTATAGGTGAACACCTGAGTTTTGTTAAGACGTTCACACAGGAAGGATGAAGGCTAAAATTTTAATTGGGTCTTCCAACAATGTACAAGGTTAAAGAGCATGCTCATGCATGACAGCAGGGACAGCTCTTTGTTTTTAATTGTTCTCCTAGATTTGTTTTTCATTTGAAAAAAAAAATGGAGAAACTCTTTCTGGTCACAAATCATTATTGAGACATTTTTAGGTTGCCGAAACATGCCTGATCTAAAACAGTTGTATACAAAAAAAAGATATCCGTGGTCATGGGGTGTCTTTGGGATGGATGACCTTTTGTTTCCATGAAGTTTTAATTGGGCTGATTTGAACTGTGTCTCTGTGTCTCAATGTTTCCCTCAATGTTAGCTTAATTGCTCGTTGTTGCTAGGAGTTCTGGTTCTGAGCGGCTTTGTCCCCGTCACTCTGCAACCTTGATCAGGTCAAGGGGATTACAGGAAATTCATGAATATGTCTTACGTGAACTTTTCACCAAGGTGTATTAATGAACGAGGGAATTAAATGATTGGATCTCTAGTGAAGAGATTTATTTTGTTTTTCTTTTACAGCTAAATTCTTTGTCAAATTAAAAAAAAAAATGAAGTAATGAGAACTTGCTCTTGTTAGGAAAGCCCAAGCCTAGAGGAAGCGTTTTGACGTCCTGCTGAAAGCGGCATCATTTTGAGCTAAAGGCTCCGAGCCGAGTCAGTGACGTAACGGCGCCTTTCAAATCCGAACGTCTCACCGAATGAGACATTTTGAGATGCAGGCAGCCCCAAAACAAAGCGAGAGGATTGTGTAATATCAAAAGTTTTTATTCCACAGATCCACCCCCGCCCTCCCAAACAAACGCTCTCAAGCAATAAAAAGTGATTATGTGTCATACGTCTCCTCTAATCTCGCATTTCCTGAAACGGCAGGGAAAGGTCAGAATCAAGAGTATTAAGGGCGAGCGGTAATAACTTGCACTCTAGCACCGATAAATTTACGAGACTCTTTAAAAGTATTACAACCGCCTTTGACAGCGAACTCTTTCTAAAAGCCTTACACCAAACGTGAAAATGTATTAGTTAGTATCGCAGCTGCGCCGCTGGGCTGTTCATCTGTTTTGCCATTAGCTAAATTGCACAAAATCAAATTAATGCACAATGCAAACTATGTGCAAGCTGAGTGTAAGTACCCCTTGTAAATCCCTTTTGTCAGAACAGCGAGCGCTCCTGTAGCGCTCTGAGAATCAAGTCTTATGCTTTACATTGCCACGTACTTTATCAGCCGTTTGCCGAATAAGTAAGCGTACGGGAAGCAAAGGCTATCGACTTGTGCGTTTATGCTGCATTTCTAAATTAAGTTTAAACAAGGACTAATGGATGCTTTGCAGCTCAAATGTGCTCATGTGGAAAGCTTGGAAGAGTGGGAGCATAAATATGACAGCGCTGCAAATTCTACTAGTGGAGACCAGGAGGGGACATGGTGACTTACTTCTACTTTTTTTCCACTTTTTTTTTTTTTAAAAAAGAAGAAAGAAATCTAATGAACCCCACGACTTCATTATATTTCACTGGGATATTGTGTGACAGACCTAAATGTTCAAAATTGTAAAGTGGAAGAAAAACTGTATGGCATTCAAAATGTTTTCACACACACACAAAAAAAGAGAAGAGTTGTGTATTTCTGAAGCCAAAAAACAAAGCATCCAGCTGTTCTGTGAAGGCATCAGAGGTTTGTTGGAGAACATTAGCAAACAAACGGACACAGAGGAACATGCCAGACGGACAGGCCGGGGAGAACGTGCTGCAGAAGCTTAAGTCAGGGTTAGGATGTCAACCCGTCTTGGATATCTCAAAATTGTGTCCAGTCCGTCGTCTGTGACCTGATGCAGTTTGGAACAAAGGCAAACCTGCGTCGATTCTGGCCGTTAGAGAAGAAAGCTGTTGTTCAAAGAAAGTCTTGAGTTTAGAGGTTGTCATAAGCGGAGGTGGGTACGAGAAACTAGCTACATTTACTCAGTTTCTAAAAAGTTGTGTAACTTTTAGAAAAGGAAAACAAAGCTTTCAGTATCTTTACTGCACTTTACTTTTACTTGGCTAATATTATTATAAACTATTTATTCTCTTGAGCACATTTCTGGATACTGTCCCATACAAGTAGCTGCAATGAGGACATATTTTAATCAGAAATGTGTAGGACACATCTACAGACTTTGTTTTGATGTTGTTTTTAGTCGGCACAGTGAGAACTGGTGGCAGCATCATGCTGTGGGGATGCTTTTCCTCAGCAGTGGCAGAGGAGCTGCTCAGATTTTTTATTTTTAAGGTTTTTTTGGGTTTTTTTTTTGACTCTAGTGGCCTTTAAGTGAAAGTGCTCAGACAGGAAAGTGGGCAATGAGAGAGAGAGAAGACAAGGGCAAAGGTCACCACGCTGGGAATCGAACCTGCGACGGCCGCATCGAGGACTAAGACCTACGTTAGTTTAAATCATGTTCTTCTATAATGACACAAATACTTCATTTTTAAACAAAATGTTTAGCTTGTGAATTTAATGTTTAGTTTCTCACTCTATTTACTTTACAATGTAAATATTTAGCTCCAATTTAAAAAATGTATTTTGCTAGCTTAAATATTTGGTTCCAAACTAAGCATTTAATTTCGAAGTTGGTAAGCTATTTAGCCGGCTTGCTAACTAAATATTCAGGTTGCTAGCTAAATATTTACCTCGTAACTAAACATTTAGCTAAAATAAAAATGAGCTTGTCGATAAGTGGAAGTGGAATATCAAAATAAAAGAGGGAATTATAAACGTGGGTCACTGCGGATCAGGATGGACCAGGAGCTTCTTAAAGAGATAGAGGCCCATTTCAAAGCGTCGGACTGGAAAGTCAAATTTCTTTTAAATCATATTTGATGCAGCAGTTTTATAGCAATCAAGTAACTATGTGCCAGAAAATACATAAGATTGACAATTCGACTGGATTTAACAGAACACGGAGCTTTACAAAAAAGAGCAAACGCAAATTTGTCTTGAGTAAGACTTGGCAGCAAAGATCTCTCAAAGTATTTACTCAGGTGAGGGATTTTGTTGAAAAGCATTCCTCCCACCCTCGCTCAAAAAAAAAAAAAAAATACATAAAAGTTATAAAATGGCAATGTGAAAAAGTTTCTGCGAGGTGTGATAATATATATTTGCAATATTATAAAGGTTAGGACTTGAATGGAAAGCTGATGGAGCCATAACAGTTACTAATAAAAGAACTAATTATGGTTTTAAAATACTTAAATGAAATGAAGGGACTAAGATTTTTCACACAAACGTGGCCAAATGGATGCTTCAGAAGCTGCGCTGATGTTTGACAGATGATCCTATTGATCATCACGAAGGTCACGGACTGTACCGCGTGCGGTAATGAGTCATAATGAACATAATAGGGCGCACGTGTTAATCACTTCCGAGAGGGCGATGATGAGATGGAGAGTCCGACAGAGAACCAGGAGACAAAACCGAGCGAAGCAGAGGGAGGTGCTCAGGAAAGGGGGGAAAACAGAGGAGGGCTGGGAGACTTTTTCTTTTTTTTTCTTTTTTGGAGTCCCGTTATTACTGGTAAAGCTGAGCTGGAGTCAGAGCGAGAGAGAGAGAGAGAGAGAGGGAACAGAGAGGAGAGAAAGCCGACGATGACAGCGTTCGTCCTTCTCCGACTCAGTTTTGTGACCGAGTGACGGACAGCACCAGCAGCCGAAGAGGAAACTTAAGATGATCACACCGAGATCCGACACCTGAAGGTATTTTTTACCTCCTTTTTTAAATTTAAACCATGATGAACATGTCTTCTTCATATTTTCACCTCGGTCAGGCTGAGTGGAGATGAGACCCAGTTTCCCTCATCATCATCATCATCATCACCATCGTCGCTCGGGTATTTGGGAATCGCCTGTCTCCTTCCCCGTCTCATCTTTGGCATCCCCGCTTGACACTTTGTTTTTTTTTTTTTTTTAATCACGTTTAAATTATTACTAATTTTGGTTTGAACGAGTCTTTCAAAAACGATGCTACGTGGATCAGTGGATATAATTTTAGGGAAACGGAATCGTTAATGGAACAACTCCGTGCGCATTTTTTGCGAGACTCGGATGTGCCTGCCGCCTGCTTTTATTGCTACGAAAAGACAAGAAAAATAAAAACAAACTAACAATCGAATTAAAGTGTAATATAACCGTATAAAAAATGCACAGCGGAGCCAATTCTGCGATGGATGATTATTGATAGGCAGGAGCCCAGTTTGGAAGTCCTTGCTCCAAGACTGAACCTGTCCCCTAACGCGCAGCAGCACGCGCTTTAACGTGGGGGACTTTAACCGCCTTGATTAGAAAACACACACCCGGATAGTGATCGATCCTCTCATTGATCACATTGATCCGTTCGTCGTTTCCACCTGATTTGATCTCCGTTCAGTTGGTGCCCTCGACCGCAAGGTGAAGGAAATTACACCCCCAATACTCCCTCTCTCTCTCTCTCTCTCTCTCTCTCTCTCTCTCTCTTTCTCTCTCTCGAGCAAACTGGACGGGCGCGATACATATATTTTTTATTCTTCTCCCTTTTCTTTTCTTTTCTTTTTTTTTTTTACGCGTTCCTGACAGGCGCAGACAGTCCGGGGCGCAAACATTTTACCGTCCGCTTATGCGCAAATCTGTCTGCGGTCCAGCGTGTCCCCCAAGAGGCTGCAAGGCGCTTTTGCCAGTGGCGGTACCGACGGGG